CAGCTGACAGTGTGGCCATCTTCACAGCCCTTTGGGAAATGTGAAAGGAGGTCAGCTGATGGAAAGAAGTATGGCTTTGTGCAAAGAACACATTGTACTAAAAAAGTTGATCTATTCTAGGGGGAAAGTAAAAGCTAATTCCAGCATGTGTGCTTTTATTTTCAGGGAGGTATCGCCTCAAGATGGCTGAGAAAAAAGTGAAAATTCTGTGTACATTACGCATTACCATACTTTAAATCCAAACCAGAGCAGAGTTAAACTGCTTCTTAAGCAAAGTGAGCAATCTCCAGGGCAGCAGGGCAGGAGCCGGCCATGTAGCACCTGACACAAGTGAGGGCAGGGGGAGGTGCTCAGTACTAGCCAGAAGGGAAACAGAGTCTAGATCACATGCATTGGGCTCAGAAATGCCCTTTTCCCAATACCAAGTTTACATATACTTTTTTTAAAAAAAGAATTATTTTATTTAACTTTATCCATTTATTTATTTTTAATTTGACCAAAGAGGGAACAGAGTGAGGGACAGAGGGAAAGTGAGAAAGCAAGCCACCAGGTCCTGACTCAGCCCACAGTCGGCCATGTGGGAGTCCAGCGTGCTTAACCACCATGCCACCTGCCGGCCCCAGTTGGTATTTACTTTGAGCCAGCCCTGCTAAACTGGTCACCTTTGGCCTTTAGTATCTTAACACTCCACTGCCGCTATTGGCCGCTTTAACAATGCTGCTTCCTTCTCTACCAAGACCTCTCTGTTCTTCCTTTCCCACATTCTCCTTACACCTCATCTCCCAAGTTCATGGCTTTCTGTGTATCTTTGTCCATCTTGGCTTCCCCAAACTTACATAACTTAGCCAGTCAAGGCTCCCCCAAGCAAGAGCATCCATCTACTGGATAAGGTAACTGGCTCCTGGGCTAAGAAAGAGACACGGAGATAGAAACCACAATCCTGCTGTTCTGGGTTCGTTGTCCAGTGGAGAAACAGACACATCAGAGATACATCAGCACTCCCACATGGCCAGCCAGGTTCGAGTGCCAGACCTGGTGACTTGCTTTCTCTCTCTTGCTCTCGCTCTTTCTCTCTCTGTGTTCTTCATTAGTCAAATTAAAATAAATAAATAAAGTTAAATAAAATAATTCTTTAAAAAGTCAAGAGAAGAACATAATCCAGACTGGAGAAGGA